TTATCAGAATCATTCCATATGATGGAAACACCTGTTTGTGTTATCTGCCATTTTCTTTGCTGTTGAAAAGAAGTGCGAGCAGAACAAGGGTTGCAGTTTGAATTTTTTAGCCACATTAGTCCCTGCAGTTTCTGAGTCCACCGACTACTAGCTGATATCTACACCCAGCTGCCACCCAGTTCAGAGCGTCAGTCTATCCTACAATCCTCCCTCCATCAAGTTTGATGGTTGCATCACCAGTCTCTGATTGTGGGCACTGTGGGTCCAAGGTCTCAACCATAGTCCTGAACCCCACATCCAGTGCTTCCTTCTCTTCACATGACCCCACAGAGCACCTGAGGGGTTCAGAGAACTAGCAGTGACAACAGTCCACCACTGTGTCATCTCATGTGGCCTTTGTGTGGGCCACAATGTGGCACTTGAACACATCGTACAGACCACGCCGACTAGCATGTGTGTTCTGCCCCTGCCTGTGCTTACTCACCACCGTTTATAGCTGCTTTTAGTTGATCATTTGTCTGATGAAAAGTTGCTGCCGTTCTCTGCCCTTGGTCTTTTGGTTGTGGAAGAAGAAAGGAAGTTGTGGAGTTGAAAAACAAGGAGAAACTGCACTAAATGGGTGAAATCATGGACAGTACAGCAACGGGCTGAAGGGGCTTTCTCATGCGCTGATTCACTAAGCTGTACAGCCAATCAGAGGGGTCTCTCTCAACACTGTGAATTGGCTGAAAAGCCGCCGATGAGAAGACGAGGGTGACAGATGCTTAGGTAGACTGGCAAACAGTCAGGGTGCGTCACACAGCTGACAAATGGGTATCAAAGCCAGAAATAGTCCAAACCGGGGCTGTTTCCCTCAGCTGTGAATAGCTGAGATGTTTGTTCTTAATAAAGGTGCAGTTGTCCTTCACCTTTATACAGCCATCACTCTGTCCTCGGCATCCTCTGTCTCTCCATCTCCTGCCTCTCTCTCTGTCTGCTGCTCATTATTTCTCCTCCGTCCCCCCCCCCTCTCAGCGTGTGCAGTAATGGGACAGTCTCAGTGGATCGATGACTTAGAGGAGAGGAACTGAGAGACTCTGAATCTCAACTACAGGCCAAGGACCGCCTGCAGGGGGCAACGAGGGCTGAGCGGCAGAGGGGTGCAGGAGGGATGGAGAGGAGGAGCAAGGTGAAGTAAAGGAGAAAGAACAAGTGTTCATGGGAGTTCTGTGGTATCTGTGTGCGTGTCTGTGCCATTAGTCTGGTTTTCTTTCCCCACACTTTAAAACCTGGGCCAATATAAATGAGCATGCAGCACGTCACTCTGGCCTAATATGACACAGGCAGTTGTTACCTACAGTAGCTGGTCACTTGTCCATAACGTTCAGGTTTGTTGTTAAGTAAATGAAGCCACGTGAGAGGAGACGTCTCTACCCGCTCACCGTCGTATGAAACAAGTGGCTCAGTTTTTTTTATTACAATTATTTATAATTAGAAAAGTAACTCATGTCTACAGCTGTCAGAATCATGTAGTGGAGTAAAAAAGCACAGTGCATTAGGTAAATGTGCCCAGTCACGTCCAAAGTCTACAGACTAAACTTAAAGCTTGGTTAAGAACAAAACTCATCGAGTCTCCTGACTGAGTTCAGGGACACAGCTGCTCCTCTGACACCAGATGGGAGTGTTGTGCTTCACTGAGGCACTGAACAATGTATTACCAGCTGTGTGTGTCTGAGGGGCTGCACCTCCTCCCGTACATCCGGGTGGGGGGGAAGAACCAAATGGGTGTTGTCTGATGAGCCTCATCTTCTTGTTTCACCTTAAAATGACGTATTGACAGTTCGTTTAAATCCATTTTCAGGTCGGCACACACACTTATAATCCTGTTGTGTGTTTGTACGTGAGGGACTGTTTGTGATTCATGTTCAGCTCTGAATCCTGATTGTGTTCACCAAAGTCACTGATGTAATGAAGCAGACACACACACACATACATTTGTACAGCTATCTTTGTGAGGACTCAGTGACATATCACATCTCCTAACTCCAATCTTAACATCACAGCTAAATGTCTAACCGCAGCCCTGGTTCTAACCTGAAACTCAAACAACCGTTTGAAGGTCAGAGGACCGGGCAACATGTCCTCACAGTGATGGTCAAAAAGTCAAACTGGGCCTCACATGGACTGACATATAATTATATGCACACAGGCTTTCCTGTAGCTGAGGATGATTGATTGGCTCTTTGAGCACTGATCAGCTGTGATTTGCTGCAGTTGACCACACACAGTTGAGTCAGAAGTTAGAAGCTCGTGCACAGTTTGTGCACAGTTCTAAGGTCTGAAGAGACTTGTGAACTCCTACAGGAGAGAAGCCAGTCGGCCGAGTCTGCGACCAAACCTTTGACAATGCTCCATGTTGTCTTTGACTGATAATTCACACTCAGGAAGTAGAACTGAAGGGGCATTCGTTACAAGGTGGTTAATTAAAACTTTTCAAAATGCACCTGCACTGTTTTGCATTTTGTGACTTTTAGTCGAATAAAAGTCATATTTCCTCTTTGAAGATTAGTGAAAAAAAGTGTTAAAATATTGTATTGTTTTTGTAAACGGAGTGTGTGATCACGCCCCTATGATTCAAGGAGAAAAACCATCTGAGTGTGACCTGCAGAAGTGACTCGGTCAGACCCTTGTTCATGCAGCCACCAACACAAAGTGTCACTTCACAGGCCTCTTCTTTGTCTCTCTAAGTTGCACTTTGCATTTTCAGTAGAAGCATTGAACAGATGTGCACAGCCCCCAGAGTTTTGAATTTGGGATCAAGTGCAGCGCTACACTGTGTGACAGCGTGTATGTCACATGATTTGGCTGACACTGCAGTCTTGATGAATAGACCGATGAATGTGTTTTCCTGAGTTTGCATCCACTTGAGCACCGCGTCCACTCCGCTGGTCTTTCCCAGCAGTGTGCCAGGCTCTGCTGCTGACTGGATGTAGTGCCACAGTTTTTCCAACACAGCATGTTTCTTTAGAACTTTGAAGATGAACTTCAAGAAATGTTGGGTTTGTGCCTTTGAGTTCTACACCACAGATAATTATAACACTTTGGCTATTAAATTAGAAACAGCACCATAGGGCTCTTCTTCCTGCCACCTTGACCTCACTCCTTCACTAGATAAGGTGTAAGCGCAGGGCCTGGCACTTTCTAAAGCTTGTAGGCCACAGGTCCACAGACAGTGTAGGTCAGTGGAGGTCTATGGCACAGAGCGATAAGCTGAACCAGGGTCTGGACTCCCACACGTTACAGTGAGGACACCACATTCACTGGGGCTGCTGGTATCTGGAAAGGGTTTGTGGGAAATAACACACATGATCACATTCACACCCTTTAAATTGCTTTCAGCCTGTTTGGCGCATCAGCTCCTGGCTGTGAAAGTCCCTGCTCTCCTGTAACTCTGAGCTACGGCGGCTTTTCCTCTCTTTGTTGCATCTTTGTTGTGCTGGGTTGAAGCGTTAATGTCCCTTCAGTCATCGACTCCACACGCACGCAGCCAAAGCTACATTGATTTCCCACATGCTTCAGCTTGTTCTCCAGTTATCAGCACAGCTCCCTACTGAAACTAATCAATGAAGTGATTCAGTGAAGTGAGAGAGGCAGAGGTATCACAGCCAGGTCTGTCATGTGTTAGGGTCGCAGCCAACAGCAATGTTCATCAGCAATCAATCTGCAAACTGATAAAACATACAATCTAACAAGTGAATGACTACAACCAGTGAGTGTTTGTTGGCTTTTTAAAGACTGCAGAGTGGCGCTGCAGAGAGTGCTCGATCGCTGCACTTGTTTTCTTACTGACATGAACAGTGTGTGTAAATGGTCTGATACTTGTAGAGAGCCTTTCTACACACTGCAACACACTTTCACACTATTTACCCATTCACACACCGGTGACATCACTGGGAGCAACTGGAGATTCAGTGTCTTGACACATGGAAATGGAGAAGCTGGGAATCGAACCATAGGATTCCATTTAGGAGAGAACTCGCTCTGCCTCCTGCAACCGACACCTATTTAGCCTGTGTTCACCAGAGAAACACAACCAGTGAGCAGTTTGTAGGTGGAGGACGCCCCCAACTGGCAGGGAGGAGAACTTCACATGTCCAGTCTGAACATTTACTCAGGCTCTGAAGTACAGTATCTGTACTGAGGTATGTGTACTGTACCCGAGTATTTCAGTGCCCTGCTCCTGAATCAAACCAAACCCAGTAGAACCATCAGACTCTATTGATCCCAGTAGGAAATTCACCAGCTACCCAGCAGGATGTAAAGTACTTCCCAGTATAAGTACATAAGGTAGTTACCATCAGCTCCACCTTTACCAGCTGCAGCATTAAAGTGATGGACACAGTAATTAGTCACTATGATCCAGTATCAGAGACATTACTGGGACACGAGCCGTTCTGCTGGACAAGTACTGGTACTGATGGTACTTCAGTAGACATGGATGCTAATACTTTAGTGCTTTTATTTCAATAACATTTTCAATGCAGGACTTTTATTTGTGACAGTATTTTTATACTGTGGCGTTACTCCACTTACTTAAGTCAAGGACCTGAGTACTTCTCCCCTATCTGGTTACTAAGAACAGTGGCTCTGCCCTGGACACTGCCACTAAAGGCCGGTGGCGGCAGGACTCTGCTCTCACTGTAAGGCCACAAATAGACTAGGCTTCAGGTTTCGCATATTTGAGCTGATAACACTCTCTGATGTCTACTATGCAAGTCCAGGTTTATCAAGCCAATGCGTTTTCAGCTAGAAGTGGTCTAATGTGAGATCGTTTGCAGGGCGAAAAGTGTCTTGTTTTCACAAATAGAATAAGCCGCTCACAAAAAGGTGGAGCTGTGTTTTATGCTGCTTTTAACTATATATCTATTGCTTTTCAGATATATTATGCATGATAAAAGACGGAGAATCAGGCCCTAAAATTTGTTTCCATTAACTTTACGCTCCGATACATTTTGTTTTCGCGTTTTGCCTCTGAGTCTCATTTGTCCCAGCTGCCGATCCGTAGCGAACCAGTCGTTGACAGTCGCTGTTTCTGTTGTGGTACAAATTAGCTTTTGATTGTCGACGGCAACCTGCACAGCGCATTCTGTCTTCGTCAGCCTGAATATTACAACGATTCAAGGGTTTCAGCAGTAGAGAGGCTCGGTTCAGCTGCAGGAAGCGGTATGTGTCAGCTCGTGGCTAGCTGCTAACGTTAGCTGCTGCTTAGCTGGTGAGAACATTGTTGTCAGTGCGCCGTTAGCTGCAGGGCTAACACGGAGGTGTCAGGGAACAGACCCGAGTTATAAACTGATCCTGATGGTACTGGTCCTGATCACATACTGGGAGTTTAATTCAGCTCACCTCTACCCAGATAAAGTTTACTTTGTAATCACAGCTGTTCTGTGGTGGGTACAGTGACTAACCGTAGTGAGCTAGCATTGTAACAGCTGTGTTTAGTTAATGTACTACGAATACCTGAGGGGTTTTTAAATTAATGTATCAGCAGTAAAAGTATACAAGTATTATGAACTTCAGGCAGTTAAAGCATGCAGCTTCATGTACTTAAAGTACACGGTTTAGCCAGTGGTTCCAAAACCAGGGGTTGCGTCCTCACAAAGTGTCACCAGACAAGTGTGAGGGTGATTTAAGTTGGTTAACTATGTAGCTTGGTTACGTATTGATTGGGGAAGATGGTTGAGATGTAGGGGACAGAAGAAACGAGTTTGGGTTTAGGTTGGAGGCGGCGGTGCAGTGTGTGTTGTGGACACGCAGCAGCCTGATGTGGATGAGTTTGTGTTCTGGCTGTGACCTCAGGTCTCAGAAACACCCGGGACTCTGAAAAACAACGAAAAAAACCATGTCAGTCACTTTTTACTTTTCTCTTGTGGACTACTAGAACATGTGCTCACTTGTAAAACCATATTTATCTCTACTACTAAATGATTAATAATATTTCAAGGTGAATAAATGTGTTTTTTGGAGCAGTTCACGAGAAGCGGGCGCCCCAGACTGAAGCACTGTCCTACAGGGGAGAACGGCCCTTAGGTCTGGAGAGCGCTATAAACCACAGGCTATGGTTTGTAGAGCCATATAGGAATGAATCATTCATAATAACTGTGTTGTGCTGCAGCAGTCCAGGTGACTCCAGGCAGACAGTATGAGCTCCAAAGGAGGAGGCACTGCTCTGAACCGCCACAACTACCGACTGTCCTCAGACACAGACAAACCCAGAGCTACAGGTATGACCCCATCATTCAGTACCATTAACCTTTATTATCAGCTTTCACATTGAAATAGATTTTGCATTCAAATATACAAGTTACAGCTAGGGGTGTATTGGCACCCAAAAATCACGTTTCAGTACATATCTCTGTTTTAAAGTCAGTCATTTTTGGTACAGTGAGGGAAACAAATACAGCGTCATTTTTTAAATAAAATTTGAAATGAAACCCATAAAAATAAAAGTTAAGTGAGCAGCGATAGTCATGTTTATGTGGTGCTGTTTCAGATGAATTAGCAAGTGTGACATGCTGCCTAAAACATACCCAATCACCACTGAACAAACAGGTTAAGTGGTGGACCGGAGCACCGTAAACAAAAATAAGGAGTCTTATCCCTGTGTCTGTCGTTGTATTTCACAGGGAAGCTGAAGAGTTCCCTAACAGCAGGCCTTAATGATGAGGGAGGGTCTTTTAGCTTGGGCAATGACGTTCACTAGCCAGAGGCTTGGCTAAGCAAAGTATACTGTGCTCTGATCCGTCACTTAATGTTTGTTTGGGAACGGGGATTTGAAAAAATGTTCTGCACACAAAACAGAACCTAAAGTCCTGTACCGAAACAGTTCGGTACAAATACGTGTACTTTAACGCACCTAGTTTACAACACCTGTGACATACATAACACGACAATTACACAAAACAGATACTTGTTATACCAAATATATGTAACACAACATGTCCTCTCAATTCAGAGCTCGCGTAGCACCATGCTGGTTAAGCAACAGCACAGAATGTTACATCTGTACTGTGGGACGTGAAATCGCCTGTCAGGGGACAGACCTCGGTGTTCTTCACTTAAGACATGCGAGGAGTCTGAAGAAATATGGTCAGCAAGTCTGAGCATGCTGAAAGCATAGGGCTGGGGATTTTCTGTTGTTATTCCCCCCAACCCCGTCCAGAGACCGACAGCACCAGTGAATGTGGTGTCCTCATCGTAATGTGTGTGAGTCCAGACCCTGGTCTAGCATACAGTGCCGTAGACCTCCACTGTTGTCCATCAGCTATTAAACCCCCCCCCCAGTGAGCCACACCACTGTACTGGGGGGCAGGTTTCTTCCTCAGGAAATGTGAGAGCCATTGTATGTGCTGTTTGTCTGGACAGTTGATGGTTCGAGCTGATAACTGGGTCTGTTCCCCTCAGGTATCGTGAATGAGAAGCTGCTGAGTGACTACCTGCATCATGTGTTTCCTTCAACCAAACAGGGACCTGCAGTGGCCTCTCTCAGGTTGGTTATCTCCTGTTCTCTCTCAGCTGCAGCGTCTCATGTTCTTATTATCGCTCAGTCTATCAACCTCTTGTTTCATTTCTCAGTGTGTAGCACACCAGAAATGTATTTGAAAACTGTTTTTTTCTTTATAAATTTCTCAGAGTCCGAGGTGACATTTTCAAATTGTTTGTTGATATCACCAGACCTCAGAGAGATTTAAGGTAAACCCTACAGGGCACAGGTGTCCCCAGTTTCTCACAGGGACATAAACCTGCCTGCAGTGACTGTCAGAGCTCCACCAGACTCCCTGCCTCCCCAGTGGAGAAAAGTAAAATGTGACAGCAGCTTCTGACGGCTGTTGGCTCTGGCTCTGTCCATGCTTCTTGGAGCAGTGGTCAGTGTCGCCTGTGAACCCGCCCCTAAGTGTCACACATTCTATAGTCACAGGTCACAGTCACAGGTCACAGACACACCTGTCTGCTACTCGTCGCTCCTTTGTTCCACTGTTGTATCTATACGCATGCTGGGAGCGAGGCTTCAAGCAGAATGTGAGGGTGTCCTTGCTCCTTAACACCTGCTCATTTTGCAGTTGCACTCTTTGCGCTCACTTTTGAGAAAAGTCAGTTGCATATGAAAACAAATTTGTTGGCAAAATGTGACTGAGCACTCACAGTTTGAAGCCCGGAGGGGTTTGTGGTATTTTGTCAAACCGCATTTACATCAGTGAGGCGAAATACCAGAAAGAGCTCTCACTATATCATAGTACAGATGAACGACAGCACAAACTGCAGCCTCCAAGACACACAGGGAGTTGTATGTGTGTGTGTGCTGTACCCTGAGTTGGACTAGTGTTTTTGGCCCCTGTAGGCAGCTTCATCTTACCCTGCACACCTCTAAACATAGACACACAGACCCTTCAGTGAAGCCTGTGTTTATTTCTGCCCTGCAGATGAGCAGCAGGGCGTCTGTGACATGTTGGGAGGGTTAGGAGGGAACTCGGGTTGAGTTTCACGTGATGACGAGGTCTGAAAGCGCCGTGGGCCACACAACACACTTCAGGTTTAAAAAGAAGTCCTGCTCCTCTTCTGGTGCACAGGAAACCTGCCAGTGGACCAGAGCAACAGGGACTCGGAGGATATTTGTTATCCTAACATCAAACAGTCAGCGTGAGACATGAGGGGTTGAGTGTGATGCAGTGCTTCTCGACTGGTGGCTCTCAGGCCAGCAGTGGACTGCACGTGCATTCAGAGGGTCACGGGGGACTTTGTAAACAAGATGACAACGATTAAACAGCAAATTACAACGACAACAAAACAAATTAGCACAACAATAGAACAAAAGGACAATAAAACAAAAAGACAAATAAAAGCTCAAACAACAACAATAACAACCATTAGTTGATTGTTTGATTGGATGAAAGTTTTTCAGTGACTGTTATGTTAATTGATAAGTCGGTGTTTAAGTACAATGTCAACCAGACTGTGCTTCAAGCGTCTCCAGTGTGAAGCCTTTCCTTTGTCATATATGCCAGTGTTAATTGATTGAGGAAATAATCAGCATTATTGATTGTCAAGACTGTCACTTGACTAGTTGACAGTTGGAGTTGTAAACGATGTTGCAGTGCTTTTACAGTTTTTGTGCCTGTGCCGACGACAGCCGTGGGTGAACGCCATGAAGAAATTTGGCACAACATCCACTTGGACTCAGGGATGAACTGATGAACTCTGGTTTTTCTGCTCCTACTCACACACACACGTATCTGTTGTTTTGGTGCAGGAAGCCTCTTGGTTTCCAGGATCTTGGTGCTCATCTGGAGAGACTGCTGTCAGAAGGAGAACCCAGCGAGGACAGCAGAGGTAAACATGGTGTGCCACAGAGTCTGTTTCCTTCTTCTGTCCAAATAGAGCTTCTGTCTGGTGCAGGTGTTGCTGCCAGTTTGTAGGCTCTTCACAGACTGCAGCTACACCAATCTGCCACAGTGGAAACACACCAGATGTTTTTATTTTCTGTTGCTGTGGAACATTTTGGTCTTCATGAATCTTCCTGCAGGCTTTCAGCTTTTCAGTTTGCTCACCTGTTGCACAGAACGACCTCTGGTTGCTCGCCATATTGTGCATTTTGTATGATCACAATCAGTACAGGTTATTCATGTCAACTACTACATCAGCATTTGATGAAATGTTTCATCACTTAGATGGATTGTGATCAGCTTTGAGTAGTACTATTACTAAACGGAGCTTGAATCTCTCTGTATGTGCAGATCAGCTTGTTGAAGGGCGTCTGGGCCCTCAGCCCGTCGTCCTGGATCACACCAGCGGCTTCGAAGGACTTCTGTTTGTGGACGATGACCTGTTAGGGGTAGGACGACCTGCTACACATTCATCATTTCAATCTGGAATCCCAGCAGTTGTGATCGGGGTCTGAAATTAACTTTTTGACTCACCGGCCAAGGCGGCTTTTAGATGACAAAGTCCACCAGCCAAATGTATTTTTAACGGGCCAAAATAGTAAATGGCTGAAAAAAAAAAGCATCATGTACACATTAGCTTCAGGATTTCATTGAGATAATAAGGTGTTATGTTGAATACAAATGTACGGAGCCTGAGCAAAACTATTTTATTGTATCAATCAGCAATTATTCATTTTTTAAAATCAAATTTAAAAGCCACAATACAACTCAGACTCTGCGCTATTAAGTGTAAACCCACTGGATGCTTCATCGTTTCAACCAGCCTGAAGCTTCTCCTGAGTCCTGAGACTCCTCACACTCCACCGCAGTCACCCGCTTCTTCGCATGTCCATGAAGTCTGGTCTCCCGTCTGTCAGAGCGGCAAATGCATGCGCCCGTGTTCTGCAGGGACTTGCCACTACTCTGCCTCTTAATGGCTGTGGTGTTGGTCAGATGACTGGTTCAGCAAAATTGGACAATAATTGTCACAGTAAAAAACACAAACGTCTTGGATGTGTTGCTGAGACGTGTGTGTAACTGATACGCTTCTATTTTCATCAGTCCAGCTGACTACACTGTCCATTTTACAGTGCACATATCAATTGTGCTTTACGTGTGTACCCACGGACTAAAGCACATTTTTAGACTTTACTCAGAAAGCCAATCAGGGCAGAGTAGGGGCGGGTTTTCACAGAAGACTGTGTGTGCGTCTCGACCTCTGACAGACAGGATCAAGGCACCCGTAATAGAGACTGAGGATCAGCTGTTGTTTTGTTACATAACTATTTCGCTACAAACATTTACCCGCCCTTGTGGCAGGACGTTTTCTGAGATTTACTGCATTTGGCACCTGGTGGGTGTTAATTTCAAACCCTGCTTGTGATGTTGTACAGCAGTTTATTAAAGCTTTTGTAGACCGTGCAGTAACAGATGTCCCCTCTCCTGTCTGTGATTTGAACTTCTCTGATTTCAGGTCATCGGCCACAGTAACTTCAGCTCCATTAGAGCCACCACATGTGTTTATAAAGGTAAACAGTCTGAGACAAGCTGAGGACCTCTGATCTGTGTCGCCCACTTTGTTTCACTAGAGCGTACAAACACTCACTCAAAAAATAATAATTAAAATAACATGTGCCAGTAATGGTACCAGCATTCGGTGGTTTTTGTCTTTCTCCAGCGACTTTAGCATTCTGTGTCATGATGGGCTTGGAGAAGATGGAGCGGAGCTGTTGTAAGACCACACTGGTCTATGATGCAGACTACTGTCTCATGTTGTGGAGTAGCTCAGCTAATATCACACAGAATAAACACCGACTAGTTCAGCGGTGCACATACTGGTGTTTAGGATGAAAATAAAGCCACAAATAGGATAGTTCCTTGGTGTTATGCTGATGTTCGGTGGCTCCAGATGGCTGCGACAGAGGTCTGTTAAGCTGCAGACACTGTGTGTATTTAGTAATCTTCTGGGTTGTTTTTACTCGCGCTACACATTTTAACTGGCCTTTGTGCACAAACAGAAGCTGTGATGTTTATTCTCATACCGTACACATGAGCTGACAGTTCAGTTTTATATCACAGCTCAGTCTGTTCCTCAGAATACACTTCAAACACAGCATGTCAAATACTGCTGCGGCCATATGAAATAGTCTGACTGTATTGTACATTAGACCCAGTAGTGTTACACAACATCCAGAACAAGCCTGGTGAAAGCTGATCTCAGGCCTGTCCTGTTGGAAACTCTGCTGAAAACCACAGATACCACCAGTTAAAATGTGGGAATGAATCTAAACCAGTCAGCTTAGTGGAATTTCCTCTTAAAACCACTTCAGTCTTAATGTTTAGAGGTTTTCTTATTGTACTCTGTTTCTGTCTGCAGGGAAATGGGCGTATGAGGTGCTGATCTCCTCCCAGGGTCTGATGCAGATCGGGTGGTGTACTCTCAACTGTCGCTTCAACCAGGAGGTGCTTGTGCACACGCACACAGACGAACAGCAGTTACATCTACTGCAACTACAACATTAGTCTCAGGTGTTAGAACAAACTTTAGTGAATATCCTCTCATAGTTCAATCTTGTTGCACATATCGAGCGTTGTCACAGTAAAATACTGACTACGTCATCATCTTGTCCGCTGCGTGTGTGCTTACAGACACGCTGTTTGTGTGTTGGTGGGCGCCCCTCCCTCCCTGTCACCGAGACAGAGCAGAGAATCATCTCACAGTCGGCTTTACTTTAGTCGGCGTCCCTTATCTTACAGTGTCTCAGCTCAACCGGAGTGAGGTTAATGTAATGCTAACCTTAAGTGGTATCAGCATGTAGTGTCAGACAACTTTTACGAGTGGCAAGTACAGTACTAGGGGGTGGTATCAAACCCGATACCTGTACTGCTATAGGTGCATCCCTAAAGAATTATCAGTGAAACAGAGTCTGAGTGCGCATCACATCTATGTTTCTAATCTATGATGTCATTCTACTGTCTCTCTGCTCCGTACACACATCTACTTCCTGTCTGTCAGACCTGAGAGAGACACCCCTCCTCCGTTGTTCTTCTTGAACTTTCTTCCATTTTTTTCCACTAAAGGTTTTTTGAGAGTGTTTCTTGATCTGACTTCAGGGTCTAAAGACAGAGGGTGTCGTATGTTGCACAGATCGTATGAATAAAATCTGACTACTTGACTGTAACTCTTTGTGTGTGTGTGGCCTGCTCAGGAGGGTGTCTTTGTGTGTGTGTGTGGCCTGCTCAGGAGGGTGTGGGTGACACTCCTGACTCTTACGCGTACGATGGAAACCGAGTGAGAAAGTGGAATGTGACTACCACTAACTATGGAAAGGTGAACAGTGACACAGATTTCCATAAATGTCTTGTTGTGATTGTGCAGCTTTAACAAGAACACTGATTTTAACTCTGCCCTTCCTCCTCAGTCATGGGCTGCTGGAGACATCGTCAGCTGTCTGATAGACCTGGATGAGGGAGCCATCACCTTCTGTCTGTGAGTAACTCAGCTCTGCTGCAGAGCTCTGATGGTAATCTGCTGCAGCTGCTCTACTGAGTGTGTGTGTGTTCACATCCTCAGGAACGGCCAGTCTCTGGGCACAGCCTTCACTAACATTAAGATGGGTCCAGGCATAGCTTACTTCCCTGCCATCAGCCTCTCTTTTAAGGAGTCAGTGGCTTTCAACTTTGGCAGCAGACCCCTCAGATATCCTTTTAAAGAAAGCTTGATGATTACCTCTGTTTGTGTCAGGAAACATGAGGCCCGTCTGTTTTCAACAAACAGCTCCACAGGCTGAGAGCAGCTGTCCCTTTGTATGGAGTCTGAGGAAAGGGGGAGTCACTGATCTTTGCCCTGTTTACACTGCTCCACTAGCTCCAGGAAGAAACATGTCACTCAGTGCAGTGGCGTGGCTCACTGGGGTGTTTTAGTGCCTGTGTGGGATTTGTGGAAAATAACAAGAACAGAGAAAATCACTGGCTGCATCCTTTTAACAACCGGGGCAACCGACGGTTCCCTGATGTTGAAACTATACCTCTTTGTGGTACTTTGGTGGAGCTTGGTTCAAGTGAGGCAACACAGAATGGCCTGTTGGTGTTTTGGTGAAATGAAATGTCTCTGTCTCTGGAAAAAAGTCACTCTGCTGGTAAATGGGTGATTTTTATCAACAGGAGCAGAATAAACACTTGCAGCCAGTGCACATCAGTGACAGAATAATGTTGAAGATGTGAGTAAACTGTTTTCAGGAAACGCTCCGGAGCCACTACAGATCCAGAAACACTGTCTTTGAAACAGGACATGTAGCTGTGTGTAACGTGAAGCAGATACACAGTGGAGTCTGACATTTCTTGTTTGATAAGCAGTGTTTGACTTTAACCTGAGTGTGGTTCACGTATCCAGTGGAGGGCTACCTGCCCCTCCAGGACCCCCCCACCACCGACCTGATGAAGGCTCACAAACTGCTGGGCTACATCAAGAACGTCCTTTCTACAGTCATCGACGCCCAGGTAGGAGCAGGCGTGTGTGCCATAAGAAGCACTCAGATGTACTGCTTGCTTCATGCACACACTTAAACCTACTATGTAATAGGCAGTTTCAGACTCACCCCTTGTTTGTTGTTTGCAGAGAATATCAGGCAGCCTGTTTGTCAGTTTGTCCTAATATTTGTAATCAGCACTTTCTCTGTCTCTTTTCAAATATAATTCTATAAGTTTGAGACACGCCTTTGTCTGCATCTGCTGTGTGTTTGAGGCCGTCTTTGTGTCGATGCTGCAGGAGGAGCGGCTGCTGGAGAAAGACTGTGCAGTGTGGAGGCTTCAAGGAGAACCCACAGTGCTCATCACTCTGGCTCACATCTTCAACCACTTCGCTCCACTCATGGTGAAACAACTGCTTTTATTCCTGTAATTGATGCTTGACTGTGGCCACAGATGTGTAGTGACTAACTGTGCATGATCCTTTCACTGACTGATTTACTGGGGGTTGTGGACACAACACATTAATCTCATGCAATGAAGAACGATGTGTACTGCTCTGGGCAGGTACACACAGTAGGTAGGGAAACGGCAATAAATCTGAATCTGTTCTGAGATCTATCTGGGCCAAATGTCAAAAACACTGTGAAGAATCAGGAACACTGCAGAAGCCAAGATAATGACATCAGTGGTCTTGTTTTTGTTGGACCAGCAGTTCAAAGATATTCAGCTTCCACATGTATAAAACGCACAGAAGCAGCAAATAATCACATCAGAGGCAGTGAGCCGTCTTGACTAATCGCATCAGCTGTGGTAGGAGGAGTGTTGCACCATAATGTTGTTTGTGCAGAGAAATGACCATCCCCTGTCAGACAGGTCACGCAGAAACACAAACCACTCAGAAGGACGAAGACAGAAGGGCCAGCACTTGTGTTCAAGCCACATCCCAGTACACAAGCTTGTGTTTATGTGAGGATGCTGCTGATGTCTTTGTGCTACTGGGCAGACTGTGGGTCTCATTTTGACCTGAATGTGCAGTTCTATGTAGTGTAGGGTCACTTTAGTTTGGCTCCATCTGCTGGGGTGTTAAAAAGACCCTGGTGCATCCTGAAAGCACTGACACGTTCAGCCCAGAGTCCCTGGATGTTTTGGTGAAGCAGACATGTGAGATGCAGCAGGGGCACCGAGCTTCACATTTCAGATGTTTCAGTTTCCTTAACCCAGCCTGACTGATGGGTGTGTGACAGGGTTGTGACAGGGTTGTTCCTGTGTGTGTGCTTTCAGTGCAAAGTTTACCTGGTGGAAGATGTGCTGATGAACTTCTTATTGGGGATTCTGGAGGGAGGAGGGTCAGTCGATGAACATCCGCTCATACAACAACTTCTGGATCTCTTCTGGCTACTGATGGAGGTAAACACACACACTGGCCTTTTATACACACAATGAGGGTTGCAGCGGTACACCGGTTTCACGGTATGCTATGGTAGGAAAACCAACGGTTATCATACCATGCACATTTGCTTATTACCAGTATTGAAGAAAAAGCACAATGCATGTGCACCTTTCTTCCCAAAGTGCCTGTCAGACTCTGCAACGGGCGCCACACGCACACCTGCAGCAGACAAATGGCAAAGAGGATGAGGCTGGTATCAACAAACTCATCCAGCAAAAAAAGAAATTTAAATCAGCAGTGCAGGATTAGTTTGGATATCTCAGAAACAATACATTTGAGAACACCCTCTCTCCGTGCAGGTCGAAGTGCGTGTCCTGTTTAACACTTGAACCCGAACAATAGAATGGGCTATCGAAATACTTTTCCACATTGTGTGTTTGTTCACTAATCTCTGACTTACAAAAGGGCTTGCACTGATCTGACCCAAACACACACAGACTTTCCAGACTCACATAAATGAGTGTGCAAGTGAAGGTACAGACACTCTGGTGCACCTACAATAAATTAACAACTATTTTGATAATTGTTGAGAGCATTGTGACAACACTTCTCACTGTTGTCAGACATTTTACAAACCGGTCAGTCGATTTAATGGAGAAATGGATTTAATCAGTAGCTGCACTTGGATCCAAACTAGTTCAGCATAGCTGCAGCTCAACCAGCCGCAGCCGTCGTGCTTTACATCAGTGCATGAGCGACAGGCTGGTAATGTGATGATGTAATAGTATAAAAGTACAGGATACATTTTTCTGCATTGAGTAGCCTGCTCCTACTTCTAATGCTTTAAGTACATTTTGTTAATACTTATTTTAACTTTATTTGTAACAGAAGGCCACTTTTACAGTGCGACAGTAGTACTTTTAAGTAAATGAATACTTCCTCTACTACTGGTGCTAACGTGCAAATTAACATGCTTTAGTTATGTGACATGTTATAGTTATATGATGTTTTTAATCATCTTTATTGTTCTGTTTATTCTTTAGGGTCAGTCTAGTGCTACGGTCCAGCTCAGTCCATAGAACATGGCCCTTGTTCCATCCTTCTCAGGGTTGTTGTAGCTGATAATAATAGTCATTATGTAATACTGTGAAAGCGGGATGTTTTCTGAGATGGTTATCATACCTTGAAAATCTCATACCGTTGCAACCCTTGACCTGATTCATCAAAATTATTCAAAGGGGTCAAAATTCTGTGACATGGTAATTGTACATGAGTTCATATCAATTCATATAAAAATTCCTTCATTCCTAATGATCAATGATTTAGTCAGTGTCTCTTGTTTTACAACTGACAATGGCCAAAATAGGAACAACTATACCACCGTGATGCTTCGAATCACGTCGGTGTCCGAGTGTCGTTGCCTCTTCACTTCTGTCAGTGTCTGTCTGTCTTTGTAGGACCACGAAGTGAACGAGTGTCTGAAGCAGCTCATGATGTCCTTGCTGAGGGCTTATCGCTTCTCTCCCATCATCCCCGACCTGGGCTTCCAGGTAGGACTGAGATCCAGGATCTGATCTCTGGGGCCCGTAACACTTAAACACTACACAGACCAGCCACAGGACAGTTATGATCCTGGACCTGTGCCCTACACACCGTGACACATGACAGGAAAGTCCTGAATAACGGAGCGGTCTGCTCCAGGGTGACAGTGCTTTAGTTTTTAGTTGCTTGGTATTTTTCCTCTTTGTTTGTGGTAAAAGAATAATAGAAGTTCTGGATTCTACCCTACTAATTACAATAATTCAATACAGTCACTCGTTGTCGTACAAAAAAGGGCAATGCGTATCATACACAAGGCTGAATATTTTGAACACACAAATCCACTTTTTCTCAAATCAGTTATTAAAAATACAGGACCTTGTTAAAATCAACACGGCACAACTTGTATTTAAAGCATTTCACAACCTATTACCTGCTAACATACAAAAGTTATTCACGCAGCGAGAGCAGTTGTATAGTTTGAGGGGCTATGGGAACTTTTCAATACCAATGGTCAGAACCACTAGGAGGAGTTTGTGTGTGTCTGTATGTGGGGTTAAACTATGGAATAGTTTGGGGCTTGAACACAAACAATTTAAAGCATTTTATAAACAGAAGGTGTTGTCACAGTACACGGACGACGGGGCTTAATCATCTGATGATGTCCAGTATTTATAGGCTGTCTTATTTTACCTGGTAGGTGTCCTGATTACCGTTGTCACCTGTGGTAATATATGGTGTGTATCTAAGTTATATTGTTTGTTTTTTTTCTTTTTCTTTTCATATATACATGTGTATATGTGGAAGTCAATGTTAATAATTAAGGAAACAGCCACTATGTTCTCCTGTTTTCATTGTAACAGACCAGGGTGGGTTTAAATAAGTCTGACTTGTTCCCACTCCGTTTTGAGCAATTGATTGATTTATGTTGTTAATGTAAGGGACTATACCTTGTTTGGATTGATTGCTTTTATTGCTATTTATTGTTATATGTCACTATTGCTGGAAGTAAATAAATAAAATGAAATATACTTAAAAACATCCTTTGAAAGTAAACCAAATGTTTATTCTAATGTATTAAATATAGATTTTTGAGAAACAATTATGTAAAATCCAGATGTCAGTGTTCAGCGCGTTCTCTCCCTGCATAGCACATTTGGTCTGAACAGCCTGGATTCAGACTGCGTTAGTTTACATCCTAAATGAATTTGATCTTGTCTACATCTACATACGGATTACTGTTTGTTCCTGTGTGTTTCAGATCCACTATCTACGTCTGACCACAGCCATCCTGCGTCATGAGAAGTCCAGGAAGTACCTGCTCAGCAATGTCCTATATCCTTATGTTTTGTTGTGTTACTTTAGTCTTAGTCCTAGTGACTGAAGGAGGTGGAACAGTGGCTCCGTTGTATCATATGGTTCATAAACAGACCCGGCTGGAAACTTGAAGCAGTGAGTGTGTAAGCATACAGTCCTGTTCAGTAGTCCTTCCCTTAACAGAAGTTTACGTTTGATGTTCTGCGTTCAGTCGTGTTTTTTTACATAAAGACTCCTCTGAGAGTGAAGGAGGCGGGGCTAGAGGAGCTCATCCCGACCACCTGGTGGCCAACACACTTTGACAAGGAGGTAAAGCTAACTCACCAGGGCATCATTTATAACTGCTGTGCACGCACAAACACAGTGTTTCCCACAGAAAGGCTGGGACTAACCAGTACTTGAAACTAGAAGCATTTTGGAGATGGCAGAAACCTTCAGCTCAGGCGGTGTCATAGTGAACTGAAGCCAGACTTCCTCTCAGCTGCATACAGTACAGCCATGTACTGTAGTCAACATGTGTTGAGTGTTGAGCTGTGTCGTCTTGTACAGACCCACCAGGTCACAGGCATCATATGCTCTGCAGCAGAGCCTTTTACTGGTTATACTGGATTGCTGTGTTTAATGCCGGGACTGTGTTTGTTGCAGTAACAGCTGCTGCACCACCAGACTCTCGAAGGGTGTTTTGTTTGTACACAGCTTTACTTCTCCACAGGAATGGCATGTCTATTAATATTCATGAGGGTTCTGCATTTACCGTTAAGGTTAATCATAGCAGTGTTGTGGGTGGAATATGCACCAAAGTGCACACATCTTCAAACTGATGCTGGGGAAGGATGCTTATGTGTAGGGGGGGGTACAGATTTACAGATCTAATCAAGATACTTTCTGGATTTTGTTCACACACAAAGTCCTGATTTGGATCAGTTTTATAAATGAGGCATCTGGTCCCTCTCATTTGCTTTATTTCCAGTCTGCTCATATTCTCAGGTGACCCCAGCATTGATCAGATGTTTATCAGTTCTCTCAGAGCAGGAAGTGGGCCCCTGTTGGTCAAACATACTGTACCTCAAGGAGTAAAGTGGAGTTATCAGCTGGGTTAACTTGTGAAATGCTTCCTGTTTGTGCTGATATTTATGTGAGAGGCAGTGGAGTCCTGACCTGCAATGGCTGCAGGAGATGGAGTTGAGGCTGACACGTGAGCACACATTCACTGATCACTACCAGAGTCAAATTCCTCATGTGTCTGACACACGTGGCCAGTAAAGCAGATTCTGATTCACTATGGGCTTAAGAACAGACGCTGTTTAGCACAGATGTAGTGACTTGTTGCTGCCCCTTGTGCCAGATAGTATGAGAGAGTTGGCGAACATGTGGGTTTGATTCTGTCACAGCATTATTTAGGGTGGCGTCTGGTGTCGGTGAGATTCCTGTACATAAACGGTCTGAAACTTCAGGGATGTTTTGGTTTGTCTTACAGGGTAAAGATGAACGGGAGCCCAAAGATGAAAGTGCAGATGAACGACTGAGGCGCCGAGCCTACGAGAGGGGCTGTCAGAGGCTCAAAAAGAGGATCGAAGGTCAGACGCCATCTAGTTTTACTTTCTGCGTGACTAACATGCATCCATGCTCACCTGTTTATCTGTGTCCTTACATAACAGACCTTAGGAGTCTTCAAATGTAAATTGCTATAGGTGAGGGTGAAATGTTATCATGTTTCATATTTTGTGCCACAAGTGTCTGAAGCCTGACAATGAATGTAATGGTCATGTGTGAGGCGTTACACTGACTGAGCTCTGGTTCTCCTGGCAGTGGTAGAAGAGTTGCAGGTGCAGATCCTGAGGTTGCTGCTCAATAACAAAGACAAAACAACGGTATGTACACCTGACAGTGTATATGTCTTTATCTTTTAACAGTGATTAAAAATGGCTGATGGGTCCTGGGAATTTTCACCAGAATTGCGGTTTGTTTTTGTTTTTTTTTGTTGTTTGCCTTGAGGACACTCTTAAAAACAATCTGTTTTGTTTCCCAGGAGAAATATGTTTGGGAACCTGCGATTTTTTTTTTTAATCCTGTGTGCTGAAGGCGGTGTACAGGAGGAAGTCGCACGTTCTCTGGACCTCATGACTACCACCTGGCTATGTTCCAACTGGGCCGTTATTATAGAAGCACAGCTGGACAACATGAACCAGCTCCGTGGTTCAACATCTGATGATGTGACGCTCTCATGCCGACAATAGCAGTCCCACTCTAATCAATAAAACCATGAACTGTGTTTACACTCTAACTAAAACACACTTCAGACTGTTTCACAGGAGACAGGTTAAACACAGAGATAAGTAGCAGTTTGAAACTCGTACTTTATTTCTGTAGCAGTTTGAAACTCGTACTTTATTTCTGTAGCAGCTTGAAACTCGTACTTTATTTCTGTAGCAGTTTGAAACTCGTACTTTATTTCTTTAGCAGTTTGAAACTCGTACTTTATTTCTGTGGCACGTCTTCAGGCATATTCTATTTTTTTTTCCTGATTCAAGGGTTTTTATATCTTTTTAGAGTGTTTCTTACTGGATTCGAGGCTCTTAGGACAGAGTCGTAGGCTGTACAGATTGCAAAGCCCCTTGAGGCACATTTGTGTTGTGTGTTATTGGGCTGCATAAGTAACATTTGACTGGACGTGACTATAAATATAAGCTAGGTCTTATTTCCTAATTCTCCTTAATGTCAGACATCTCAGTTGAAATATTTGTGGGTGACAACAGAAACAGGTCCAGGACTTGATCGTTGTATTTTTATTAGTAAATGTTGTCATCAAAGCAAACACTAAGCTGGCGGCCACTTGCAGTGTTGGTTCAGTGGTGGAGCTCAAGTGGTGTCAGGACACATAAGAGCCTGCACTGTGCCTTGATGTTGTCCGTGTCTGGTTGGCTTCTGTCCCTTTAAAGGTGAAGAACCTGAACCAGCGGCTTCAGTTCAGCTCATGCACTAACTGTCCAAACTACGGCCACAGAGTTAAATAAAAGAATCTCATGCGTTTCTTCCTATGATCTGAGCTGCAGTGTGGATCATTTCATCTGTCGGAGCTGCTGATGTTTAGTTAGTGCTCGTCAGAGTCTAGCAGCACTGAAGACGGGCTCTCATCTCCTCTTCGTTACTGTGTGTGTACTGCCTGGGGGATGGAGCTGTGATTGATCAGCTTCTCACTCCATCTCTTTCAGGGCGAAGCCTCTCGCTACATTTTCCTCAATAAGTTCAGGAAGTTCCTCCAAGAAAATGCCAGCAACAGAGGGGTAAGAACACATGTTGGTGCCACCTTGGACTTAACCAGTCTGCAGTGGTGGAGTGTGACTGTGTACATATGTGAGGTACTCATATATGCAGAACAGAAGCACTATACATATATATAACACATTTGAATGTCCTTGCATGGCAGTCTCGGGCTTTTAGATTTAGATTCATACGCAGGATGTTTGACGTCTTCCTGCTTTTGTGTTTGGTTTAAGACAAACATATTTTTACATAAAATATTTGTTCTAGGGCAGCATTTCCTTCACTGTATATACGTGTGTGTGTGTGTGTGGTGTGCACAAAAGTGTGTTAACATGTTTCTACCTGTATATAAAATGGTGTGTTTAAACAGCACCCTACGGCCCTGTGTCCTCCTGAGTACATGGTGTGTTTCCTCCATCGCCTCATCATGGCTGTGAGAGCGTGCTGGGATGAAGACAACAGAAAGAGCCCCAGCAGCATCAGCAGTGAAGGTATGACATGGGGTAGTACTTGGGTTCTTCATGTAGTGCAGTGAAGGTACTACCATCTTGGTAGGCACTTGGCGAAGGTACTACCATCTTGGTAGGCACTTGGCGAAGGTACTACCATCTTGGTAGGCACTTGGCGAAGGTACTACCATCTTGGTAGGCACTTGGCGAAGGTACTACCATCTTGGTAGGCACTTGGCGAAGGTACTACCATCTTGGTAGGCACTTGGCGAAGGTACTACCATCTTGGTAGGCACTTGGCGAAGGTACTACCATCTTGGTAGGCACTTGGCGAAGGTACTACCATCTTGGTAGGCACTTGGCGAAGGTACTACCATCTTGGTAGGCACTTGGCGAAGGTACTACCATCTTGGTAGGCACTTGGCGAAGGTACTACCATCTTGGTAGGCACTTGGCGAAGGTACTACCATCTTGGTAGGCACTTGGCGAAGGTACTACCATCTTGGTAGGCACTTGGCGAAGGTACTACCATCTTGGTAGGCACTTGGCGAAGGTACTACCATCTTGGTAGGCACTTGGCGAAGGTACTACCATCCATACTACTATCTTGTCCCTGACGTCCTTTGACAGCTCTTTGGTCTTGCCCATGGTGTTGAGGTTTGAATGGAAGATGGAGATCGTTGGACAGGTGTTAGGAGCACCTTTTTAAATTGACAGGACTAATCTGTGCACCACATGAGCACGTGCCCAGTCTGTGGGAGCCAGAATTATTGTTGGTTGGTGGGGGATCAAATACTTATTTTACTCACTGAAGTGCAACTCAATTTATAACATTTTTATTGTGCATTTTTGGTTTTTTTTGTTGATATTCTCTCTCTGCCCTTTAGAATAAACCTATAATAAAATTATAGACCCTTCATCTCTTTGTAAGTGGGCAAACCTACAAAATCAGCAGGGGATCAAATGATTCTTCCCCACTGTATATCTGCTCTGTCATCCCCCCAGTTGTTCTGCGCTTTTCTTGTCACTCGTTTGTCATTTTGTCCTTGTTTTCCCCAAAATGTCCTGCATCAACATGTCACATTGTCCCCTGCTGTCTCTTCTGTCTGCAGACGCCTACGTCCCTCCCCAGCTCTTCTACAATGGGAAGGTGGACTACTTTGACCTGCAGAGACTGGGGGGACTCCTCTCCCATTTGAAGAAAACACTCAGAGGTTGGTGCACCTTTATTCAGAGTCGTTTACATAGGGTCTTATTTGTCTGTTACCTGGTTGAAACCATTTTCACCACCAAATTAAGACAGGTATTCAAATTTTTATTACATTTTCCAACATTGTTAACATGAACTTGAGTCAGACATAATCAAACTGGGAACAAATCAGTCCTGGTCATCTACTTCTGGCGCCGACAGCGATGGCGAAGATCATTGGTGTGAACCTGCCCTCCATGGAGGACCTGTACACCTCACTTAACCAATGACAGTATGACTGGACAATAACCCTCAGTGCAATACCCGTATATATACATTGTACAGATTATACAGAGTCATAGAGGTCTCTAGTTTTAAGTACTCTATCTTTATCCCTTATCCCTATTTATCTCATGTCAATGAACATTCCTTTGTTGTCTGCATTGTTTACTGTCTGTTTATACAGCTTACTCTGCATTGTTTGCACTGTTTGTTGATGTTAATACTGCTATTTTGTTATATTACACAACCTTCTGCTGGTTTATGTTTGCACATTGAGAGCTGATGTACCTGAGTAAAATTCCTCGTGTGTCCATCACACCTGGCCAATAAAACTGATTCTGATTCTGTTAATAGGGATTTGTCCAGTTTTGACTGGCTGGTGATTGGCACGTCTCTGCATCATCTTGTAAAGTGAGATCTAGAACTGCTGTTTTGACTAATAACCAAAGATTTCACTGTTTCTGTTATGATAAGACGGAAGACGTTAGGTTGCATTTTGCAGATCTGAAGTTTCCCTCACACCCTCAGACCTGGTGTGTCCACAGCAGTGTGAACAGACCAAACCATGTGTCCTCAGACCAAATCTGGGCCACCTGTGTATGTGCTCCTAGATCCCATTCCTCTCTGACCTCTGATAGCTCTCGCACAGTCAGAACGGTCAGATCAGAATCCATGTGGCTGTTTTAACGTCTCCTCCTCTGCACCTACACCCTGTCGTCATCATTCGGTGTCGGCCCCTCACGGACCGTTAACAGTAAACATGATGGAGAGCGATGACAGTGACGGGGTCAGTGGAGAGAGACCAGGACGTTTCACATGTGTTTAACAGGTCCCACATAATCATCAACTACATGATGAGTTATAGCTTTAAAAGAGGCTGTATACATCTTGGTACGTAGAGTTGCTACTGATCCAACCATGCCTGCGGTTGTTTCTGGTGGTGTCTCTGAACTCCACTAGAGGGAGCAATTGCTTTGTGCTTGTTACAAACACAAATGTACACACACAGGTGTGTACTGAGACACTGAATGATTTGACATGTTGATAAAACGTAATGTTGTGCTTTATTTTATTGTGATAAGTTCCATTCTCTACATGTTTTTTTTTAAAGTACAATTAGTTAATCAATCAATATGTGCAAATATCAGTTTAGACTTGCGTCATTCTGTACAGTCGGATTTAGTTTGGTTACTTTTCTGCACTGTGAAACCAGATCTTTTCTGAAGCAGACGTTATTACAGATGATTAATGTATTTTAATGTGTTTCATGGGTGCGAGACAGTTGGGGCAGTCATGTAAATATTGAACTGAGAAAAACACAAACTGGCTAATTGTGTTGTCATGTCCAAGTGAAGCGTAGTGTTTTCCTGTTGTTGTCAGCAGGTGTGGTAGACAGGTGTGTAACATGGATTGATAGTTCCTTAGCAGACTCACTGTACACACAAGCTGCTGCTCATTCACTGCCAAGGAATCAGTTTCCAGCAGATCATTCAATTCAGCTTTTCCTCAGAGCAGCTTCAGTTTTATTTAGCGCAGCGCTGAGGGAGGCTGATGTTTCAAACATCACTCGACTGAAGACGACAGAAAAGTCACCTTTCTTTCAGCTGCCTTTGGTTTGAGAAACAAGGTATCAAACAGTAAATGGAAATGCACATTTTAATATTCTAATCACCACTGGGGATGAGGGCACCTGTTTCTGACACAATGGAAGCTGCAAAGCAAAAACAAACCAGTGGTGTAAAGAAACGGGGCCTGACTCAGGGACCAAAACTGACTGGGTGAACACAGCTGTGATTGTCTAAAATGTCTCCAGATGTTCTCTGACTGTTCAGCTGCCATCATCCAGATGGGAGAAGACAGGAGCTGATAAACCCATCCTGGTCGCCCTCAGTTACCACTTTATGCTTTCAGTCTGTCTTTGCCCTGAGTTTTGCTTCTCAGGCTACATGAAGCTGTTTTGGGGGGTGTATGTGCAGCTGGCAGGAGATGAGCATTTAATCTCTGCTGTGTTTTCATTTACAGTCACACTGAGAAGCAGCTCAGCATTCACACACTAAATAGAAACATGGCAGTGAAGGGCAGGGCTCCTTACAGTGAGGCCACAGGTACACTGTGAGTCTTAGTGAGGCTGGACTATTAATAATACAGCCACCTAAACTGTGTTGCTGGTGTCTTTAAATAAAGACACCAAAATGCACGATGACCGGTTCCATAAATAAGGTACTCTTGACTGATATAGCGTGATCATGTGACACACAGGATGTCATTCATGTACGGTCAGGGATTCAGTTGTGCTGATTTGCTCTGACTTCTTTCTTTACAAATCCAAACTGTGTTTTCTAACCTGCAGCTGTTGAGCCATTGTCGTGAGGTCAGGTCATCACTGTGTTACTCTCCTGCCTCTCCTCCTAACAGAGTTCAAATCATTTATTCTTCATAATAAGAAGCAGCCCCTTTGTTCGTCACCGCCTGCGGCTGTTCAGAGCACAGCTCCAAGTTTGTGTTCAGCAGAGTTTAGGATTTGGTTGAATAGACCGTCTCACGGAGAACAGTCCTCCTGGCTACCTGGTTACTGTTTCAGCCATTGTCCACCATAAAACATTCCCCTCTCCTACTTTAATGACTCGTTTGTCTTTGCATCCAGAGACTTGAGCTCAGTGTGGGTTGTTATCATTCACCTCACTCAAAATCAGAATCAGTTTTATTGGCCAGGGGTGACGGACACACTGGGAATTTGACTCTGGTACATCAGCTCTCCCTGTGCGAACAGACTAACAGAGTTCAAATCATTTATTCTTCATAATAAGAAGCAGCCCCTTTGTTCGTCACCGCCTGCGGCTGTTCAGAGCACAGCTCCAAGTTTGTGTTCAGCAGAGTTTAGGATTTGGTTGAATAGACCGTCTCACGGAGAACAGTCCTCCTGGCTACCTGGTTACTGTTTCAGCCATTGTCCACCATAAAACATTCCCCTCTCCTACTTTAATGACTCGTTTGTCTTTGCATCCAGAGACTTGAGCTCAGTGTGGGTTGTTATCATTCACCTCACTCAAAATCAGAATCAGTTTTATTGGCCAGGTGTGACGGACACACTGGGAATTTGACTCAGGTACATCAGCTCTCAATGTGCAAACAGTAAATCAGCATAAGGCTGTGTAATATAACAAAATAGCAGTATTAACATCAACAACAGTGCAAACAATGCAGAAAACGCAGTATAAACAGACAGTAACAATGCAGACAACAAAGGAATGTTCATTGAAATGAGATAAATAGGGATAAAAGCAGAGTAGTTAAGAACTAGAGACCTCTATGACTCTATAATCTGTACAATGTATATTTACAGGTGTTGCACTGAGGGTTATTGTCCAGTCATACTGTCATAGGTTAAGTGTTCATCAGAGCGAAGGCCTGGGGGAAGAAACTGTCCCTGTGCCTGGTTGTCTTAGTGCACAGTGACCTGTAACGTGGATGTGAGGGGTCAGCAGTGATCCTCTCTGCCCTCCTTTTGACCTGTGAGGTGTACAAATGATAGACTTGCTGCTGCATTTTGTTGCTACTTTAGAAAAGTCTGTGTCCTAATTCAGAAGTAAAGACACACAATAAGCCTCATGTCGTGGGGACTGTCTTTCTCTCAAGTCACACTCACTGAGCAGTAATACTCACTGCCCCGTGACTCAGTGTCGCCGCTCTTATCTGCTGTCTCCAAGTAACTAGCTCGGCTCGGCCCTCTGTGGCAGCTCAGTGTGTGCAGGGCTTCGACACAGTGTGTAGTCTGACTGGCATGTCTGTGTAGCAGCAGGTGAGTGAAGGCTTGTCTCTGCTTGTGGACGTGACTCGAGACGTCTGCATCTTAAGCTGACCACAAAGACCTGAGACAGAACATACATGATAATGTATGAAAGTAACGTCTGCCACAGGTACTTGGTGTTTTTCTTTAGCTTGCGGTCTCCTTCTCAGCAGTACACACAGTATTTACACTGATGGCCATAGCAAACTGTTCATCAGTTACTAAACCAAGCCATAATTCACTTTGTAAACAGTTTGTTTTATCCCTGCCTGTGTTTGCTGAGACCTGGGTGTGTCCTCTCCTCCTCCTCCTCCTCCTCCATGTCTCATTTCTCTTTCGTCCCCCTTTACTCTGCAGACTTTCTGCCCTTGCTCATTGTGTTTTTCCTCCTTTGCCATCAGTATTTGTGTCCACGTAGCTTCTCTCTACTTGCATTTAGTCAGTGCCTGGTTAACATTAAACTGTAAATCACCAGGCTGTTCATCTCCTGCTCTTGTGATGCTGTGGCATCTGTTGTTAACAGCCTTATGTAATGACAATGTAATTGAATGCCAGACCGTCTTCGGGTTTTCCAATTGGCAGGAAGCGCACATGAGAGGCAGGAAATAAACAGGCCAGGGTTGGTGTGTTAGTTGGTCAGTTGTTACACTTCACACTGTTTGTTGACAGTTACATAGAAAACCTGATTCTTTCTAAGCAAACTACATGTCAGCAGCCGTATCATAAGTAAAGTATTTTCATACCCTAGGCTCATCTCATGAGCATGGGCTGGGGAACCACAAGTTATCTTCTTGATCCAGTAATCAAGAATAAACCAGTGAGGACAGGTCAAGCAATACAAGTGAAAATGACCATGGAACCACATGTAAACATGATGCACAGGAGGTCAAAGGCATTCATGTAACAGGAACATGGCAAAAGGCGACACGATGGCCACAGGATGGCCACTGTGTGTAGCATCCAGTGTTTTCATAAGAGGGGGGGAAGAAATGTTGCCCAGAACATGAAAAGATCAGGAGAGCTGAGGTCTGAAACAGGACGGCAGAGAGAAGAGGTTTGGCAGCTGTGTTCTGTGCTGTAAATGAGCAGCTAGTTTGTTTTCTGCTGAGTTCTGAGCCTTGATCACACTCACATACAGTTTTACCAAAGCACCTACATTCATTTGCAACACACTGAGATCCTTGTTACAGAAAGGAAGAAGTGGAAGAGAAATTAATTAAATCTTTGGCACATCTTCAATGAGACTTCTTCTCAGCAGCCTGCTTTGATGCAGTCAAGGCTGTTGGCTGCACACCAGGGCCGAGCATGTTAGAGACTGAAGCCTGGATATGTTCAGAGTGACAGCACCCATCTGTTTCTTCCTCCATGCTTTGCCCTTTGGGGCACTGTCATGCATTGGTGGTTCCTATTAAATCCCATGCTCGCTCTCCTTCTCTTCACAGCTGTATGTGCCAGGAAGTGAAACCACTGAACAGCTGTTGTAATAATCTCTTTGTTTCCAGACGACTTGGCCAGTAAAGCCAACATCATCATCGACCCTGCAGAGATCCAGGCCACATCTATGGATGACCTGGACGAGGACGAGGAGAGCGGAGCTGCGCAGGTTCCTCTTTCTTTTGTCACGTGCACGTTTGTGTGTATACAGTATGTACAGTAAACAGATTGGTGACACATTTTTGCAGCTAAACAATGTAATAAGATGCCAGACAAAATGTGAAGATGTGGTGAGAATCTCTTGGATTGTGAGATCTGATGAGAGAAAATGTGATGAACTCTTTACTCACGTTGAGATTTTCCTTCCTGATATTTGATGTTAAATCATCTTTTGAACACCAGAGACCTTTTGGTGCAGCAGCGATGGGTGGAGCTCTGGCAAGGCCTAGCTGGCTGAGTTCTCCCACTTTGGGTCGGGCCAACCGGTTTCTAAGCACAGCCGCCGTCAGCCTCATGACCCCCAGACGCCCCCTCATTCAGCCAGAGAAGGTGAAGGTCCGCACCCTCGCTGTGGAGCAGAGGACTGAGGACGACAGTGAGTGTTTCACGATGCAGCACAGATCAGAGGATCAGCTGTAGCCAGACTGTTCTACACCTGCCAGGTCTTACTTTCCTGTTCTGTCTCTCGTCTGTTCAACCTGAAGTTGAGGGAAGCCACGGGAGCGATGGCCTGCTGCTGGGGCGACCGCAGGAGGAGCCTGATCAGCCGATCACAGAGAAGTCCCTGTTGGAGATAGTTGATGGCATCGTGATGATGTACAACCTGAGCGTCCATCAGCAGCTGGGGAAGGTCAGTTCATCTCCACACAAGTGTCTCTACCTCTTGTATTCTGTCAAGGATCTGAGAGCCAGCAGTGACGACCAGCCCCTGTGTCTGCACTTTGAAAGAGCTTACAACAGCAAAGGTGAGTCCCTGGTGGTTCGACAGTTTCTACAGCAGGAACTCTCCCAGAAGACCAAGAACCTCGTGAAGAACCAGAGAGACCAGGGACTGGTTCACAGACTACTGGGGAGAGGTTTCTTGGGCTTACAACTGCAGCTTATGTCCCACATCACTCACAAAACAAGGAAATCATCTTGTTGTTCTGTTTTGGGTTTTTCTTTGGATATACTAAAGCAACATGCAGATGAGGTAGTCGACCTCTGTGGTCTGTGCTGCTGGGTTCACGGTGTGTATTGTATGAAGCTTCGCCTACTGTCATGGCTACAACCTTGTTTCCTATCAGATCTGCTTTGTTGGCCAAGCAAACCTGGACAGTAGGCAGGTACTGATCAGAGATGTGTTTAGAGCCTGTATGAAAGCCCTGCAGCTACTGACCTGATGATTAACACTGTTCCCTGCAGATGGTGGTGGTTTCAGACGATGTCCATGAATATGCCGTGGCCCTGAAGGACACAGAGGAGAAGATCGCCCGATGCCCTGCCAGAGTAAGCTCACTCTTGTGTCCCGTTCACTTGTCAGGATTTTGCTTCTCTGAGGTTTCTGTGTCTGTGTGTGTGTGTGGGTTTGTCTTTATATACTTGTGCGAATCAACCCCTGACCGAACACCTTTCTTGTGTGGACCTTTTGGGTGGTCCACACAAGGAAAATGCTAGGATAGGCTCCTTTCATCCTAAAGAATGATCTAAGTTTCAGAAGATGTCCACATACAGAGAGTAAAGTCAGAAAAATGTGTTTCAGCTTGGGCTCTAAAAGTATCATGCTCTGATTAAATACTGCTTAAGCTGAATTCATATACCATTTTTATAATACATTTTTAATAGATGTAAATACAATCTAATTTAACCCTTGTGTTGTGTCCAGGTCAAATTGGCCCTTTTTTAGATTTTTACTAAAAGAAAACTGACAAAAGAAAAAAAAGCTGTTGACCTGAACCTACGTGGACTATACATTATATTTACATATAAATAGTCT